GATATATATATGAGGCAGCGTGGTGAAATCAGGCGCTCGTGGAAGTAATGAAACCAAAGAAAACAGCGCTTTTCTGACCGTTGAGCAATTTTTTTCGAATTTCCTTTATTTGGCTCATCACCTTTTATGTCCACTTGAAAAAATGCATTTTAGTGTGCATTTTTAAATGAAAAAAACGTTAATCAAAGGCACAAAAATGGAAATTTGCCAGTCTCCATGGACACTCAAGCTTTGGAAGTCACCAAACTTTGGCGACCATTTTCTCGCAAATTTGACCTCTGACACCAGGCGACCTTCACGTCCTTCAGTCGCAAATATCTCGACTTCTGTTCAAGACATCATTAATGAGTTGGGGTTTTTTTCACCCAAAGCAAGACAAATGAACTCGCTTTAAGATGTTCCAAAATTACTCCATATGCCCTGAGAGTGACATCGCCTGTTTCCACCATGTCATGACATATATACGCTTATATAATTAATAAACATAAACTAATACTTTTCTAACATCCCCGCTCCCCTTCCTATCCCTGCTCCCCTGACCTCCCAATTCCCCCCTTCCGCCCTCCCCCCAATGCCCCCTGGACCAATCCCCCTTTCTCCCCCACTCCCCTCACAGTTCATTAGCAACATGCGCCGCAGCACCCAGCTATCCAAGTACTGTCGCTACTGGTACATAAGTCATTGGAACCGCTATGACGTCACACTCTGCGTGACCTTTTTTCTGGCCTTATTCCTGAACGCCACGCTGACGGGTCAGGACGTCATCTGGGCCAGGATTGTGTTTAGCATCAATTTCATCATGTTCTTCTTCCGCATCCTCAACAACTTTGCCGCTCACAAACGCCTCGGTCCTCTGGTCACCATGCTGTATGGGATGGTGAGATCGCGTTTCTCTACATATACGTCACCATAGGATGGTGAGATCGCGTGTCTCAACATATAGGTCAATATGGGATGGTGAGATTGTATGTCTCAACATATAGGTCAGTATGAGATGATGAGATCGCGTGTCTCTACATATAGGTCACCATAGGATGGTGAGATCGTATGTCTCTACATATAGGTCACCATATAATGGTGAGATCATACCTCTCTACATATAGGTCTCCATAGGATGGTGAGATCGTATGTCTCTACATATATGTCACAATTTGATGGTAATATCATATCTCTCAACATATAGGTCACCATGGGATGGTGATATCATATCTCTCTACATATAGTTCACCATGGGATGGTCAGATCGTATGTCTCTACACATAGGCCACCGTGTATATCCTTTTGTCGAGCTTTAAAGACATATGATTACTATCAATAAAAGGGATTGCATAACTAGAGATGGAAGATTCTAAAGCAGTCTTAACGGTTTGTCTCCTTCTTTCCTTCCATCTCTCCCCCTTTCTTTCCCAGTCTCTCCCTCCCTGTCTCCCTCCCTCTCTCCCTCCCTCTCTCCCTCCCTCTCTCC